CACCGAGAGTGGATATTTTGCAATCTCCCGGGCTTAAGAAATAGTCTTGACAGTGCCTCAGCTGATTTCAACACTTACATAGTCAAATGGTTGAGTTTACTACCCCGGGTACCAGGACACCTCTGTGTCCCTCTAGGGAGTTCCTGTGCCTCTTGGCTTCGCTAAGTTGTATGTGGAGTTGTACATACCGGGGTTGATGACAACTGCTCTTACCTTTGTGCAAAGTGGAGGAATTAAAAACTCTTAGGAAGTGGCTGGATCTTAGCAACCTTCAAAGCAAATGGACTAACCCTACCATCAGTTTGAAACTAAATGCTTACACTTTATTGGGAAATAATGCATCTCTTCTGTAGTTACCTTTGCATGTGAAGTTTTAGTTAGCTTTAACTTGCTGCTTCTTAAAGCTTCTCCTTTCTTGAGGTAAGGCTAAGAGAGTTAAGGTCAGGGCTTAGGTTAGCTTTAACACGCTTTTCCTTTTTAATCCATGCGCAGTGTGTATTGCATAGGTCACTTAGGTATATGATTAGAAACAGTGGATTGGTTAAAATCACAGATTTTAACTGTGATTTAAGTAATAGAGTTAATCTGGTTTTGAATTTATACAGGATCAAAGATGTTAATTTGCAGCTAAGTACAGTCCCTCTTGTGAAATAAGCGCTTATTTTGTAGAAGTAGGAAATGTATGCCTTGCTTTTACCTACTTAGGGTTCATGAGAACCTAAATGTACATTTATCTGGTGAATTAGACATGCTAGACACTAAAGCAAGCTTGATACAAGTAAAATACCGAGGTGTTCAGGATAGTAACTGGAAAGCAGTTGTAAAGTAGATGGCATTTCTGGAAATCTGAAAACTTTTACTTTTTAACCAAAGAAATCCACTGAATAAAAGCTTGTCTGGTTCATTACTCAAGACTGACCAGTTTTGATAATGGTACTCTTAGCAGTTATAGAACTAGCAAGATTTTGTAAATTCACATTTCATCTTACTTACAGATGGAAGAAGAAAACAATCAGTACTTATTTTGAATTTGGGGAGGGTTTGGGTTTTGCTTTTATATTTCTGAGGGAACAATTCACTGACTAAAACAAACAGAGCTTGTTGGTATGTGTGAGAAGACAATGCTGTGAAAAGCTTGTCCTTGCTGTTTAGCCACTGATCTCTATTGCATGTGCTTAATTTCATCAAACTTTAGCAATAAACTTGTGCTACTTGACCTTTTCCATTTGCTTGTTGTAATGTCCTAACATAACACACTGGAGTCATTATGAGCCTAATACCAACTTTTAAGACAAATCTTACTTAGCCACAATAACTATTTTTCGAACATATCCAATTTTAAGTCGTAAAGCATTGTAAATGATATAAGAAGGAAGGCGCTTTAAATATTTGAAGTGCTCTTAAGCACAAAAAATGCAAATTGTTTACTTGAAAGTATGTGTTATTAATAGCTTTTAAAATTTTTAGCATTTTAGTAACTGAGACTTGCAGACTTCAGATTATTCCTTTGTCTTTCCCTTCTCATATGCCAACTGAGTTTTTTGCTTTTCTCTAATAGAATAGCTGAAATCTGTGAATTGTTGTAAATTCATCAAACTAAGAAAATATTCCCATGTTAATTGTACATCTTTTCAGCTTTTTTTTTTTTCTTTTGAGAGTTCATGTGAAATCAGAGGATTGTAAAGAAGCCCTAAAGAAACACTATGTGGTGTAATAATTGGTTTGTATTGTATGCCTCCCTTACATTGATGCACTTTAATATGCAGTATTTATTTTTTGCAGTTGTGGTTATAAGTCATAGAATCGTAGAATAGTTTGGGATCTGTTTTCGCAGTTGCATTTCACTGTGGGAAGACAGAGCCAGACTCTACTCTGAGATAAGTAATGGAAGGATGAGAGGCAGAGGACACAAGCAGGAGCATGGCAAATTCTAATTAAGTATAAGGAAAAGAAAATTACCCTAAGAGTGGTAAAATACTGGAACAGGTGCCCTTAGAGGTTGTGGGATTTCCATCCTTGGAGTTGTTCAAGACTTGACTGGGCTCAGCCCTGAGTTAGTGCACTTGGTGCACGTAAAACTCTGAGCATGTATGTGTATAGATGAACAGGGCTTTTGAGTAAAATTGATGTGCATATTTAATCTTTTTTTGCTTCATGTTACCTGTTGGATAGGCAAATTGAGAGTCTGTAGAATTTCAAGTTTGAATAAATGTAAACATCAGCCGTTGAATGAGGGGTATGGGGGAAGTGTGCTTTTCTAGACTGAGGAAGAAGTATCCTTTATTGAATTTGGGGGAAGGTAGAGAGGTGAGAGAGCTTAGAGGTGACTGTTCTTTTGAGGATGAAGTGCATTCCAGGCTATTCTAAACTGGAATTACTAAGGTGCACTCCTTTCGTTGGATCTTGCCTATGGATGTCGTGGAGATCTGGTATTTCCATGGTGATGAGGTCATTCATTCCAGTGGGGCACTAAAGAGAGCAGGTTTGGGAGGGGCTCTAAATATGACGTCAGGTTTTACTCTGTGGGAAACGAACTATCAATTATTTAACCATTGAAAATGGAACTGTAGAAAGATAACAAGAAACAGTTCGCATTTAATAGGAGCATTAATTTCTTTAGTGCTCTTGTGCTTCAAAACCTAAAATCCCAGTCTGTGAGCTCTAGCCCTCTGTCCCTTTCTGAGAAGATCCCATTTTGCAATACAGCAGCCTAAGAGGTATCTATTTTAGCCCTGTTGAGGAAGGAAGGGAGAAGGAAAATTAAGTCGGAATAATTCAACAAACTTAAAGCAATAATGATCAGCTTTTAAAATTTTCAGTGTTTTAATATCACATACTCTTGGGTAAACACAGCGTATTCTTTTTTTTTTTTTTCCCCCCCTTAAGAACCCTTCCTGTATTTTAAATAATAGGCTACAATAAACAAAATATGTAAAGTTGATTTCAGCTTCCCCCCACCACCATGTAGACTACCTCAAATCCAGAAATTCTAGTATGTGGAAGAGATGGATAAACTGTGAAATCAAATTTGATTTTGATGGGTAGTTATTTTCTGAAAGGAAGTTGAAATGAGAGGGGTTCAGATTTAATATGTTAGAGGGCATTAGTTTTGCTGCCCTTCATGGGTATGTAAAGTGAGCTGATATTTCCTGATATTTTTTATGGTGAGAGGTAAATAATCATAGTACAAGGCTAGTAGAGGGCACTGATTTACTTTGTTGTCTGCAAAACCAGTGCAAATAAGTGAAGATGTTACTGTGCTTCAAACTTAAGTAATAGATTGAGCTTCAATTGGACAGGATGCCAGCTAGAAAAACAGGATCAAGACCTGTCGGAGAAGTGAGAGCGTGTGTATTTGCTCATGTGTCCATGCACCCAGTGCTCTTGGTCTGGTTTGTTGTTGTTTTTTTTTTTTGGCTTAGAAGATTGAACATTACTAAATTAGTTTATTAAAAAAAAAAAACCTGGTTATTTATATCTGAGTGCATGAAAATTGGAACTGATAAAACTGTCTATATAACTGCTTTTGGAAATACCTTCTTTACTTGCCAGAATGTGACTTATGCCATTGTCTCAATTGCATGTAAAATGTGGTTTACTAACATAAGCATGTATCTGACTGTGAATAGTGAGCTGTGTCTAAGTTGTTTGCTGTCTTCAGGGGTAGGAGGTGGGGTCAGGCTACTGGTATCAGTGTATTCATGGCCCAAGGCAAGGGTGGAATGAAAAAATTTGTAGTGGTAAAAATGCAATGTGTCTGATACCTCAGATTTTTTTTTGAGATACTCTGTTTTGAATGTTTACTCTTGGTTTGCTGTGTTAAGAGTGACGAAGGTTTAGGGGCTGCTATTTGAGGTGGTGGGAATAACACTGTAAAAGGATACTTTGTTTGTTTTTTTTTTTAATTGATCTAAACTCAAAGGTTTAAGCAGGATTGTTTCCAGTGCAGAGCTCGCATTCAACTTGATAAGTTGAATCCTCTCTATTCTAGAAGGAGTCTATGTAAGTTAAAATAACGCAAGTTCTGAAGATATTTTGGGATGACCTTGCAGCATATCAGTCAGGTTAATAACCTGTTACTTTGACCTTCCTCTCCACCCCCTTTCCTCTACCAAGTTGACAACCTTATCAGGGAATTTCCTAAAGGTATGCCCTGGAGAAACATAGTGTTAAAAATTCAAACAAAACATTGCAGGTGGATGAACTGTTGTTCTTGCTATGACTAAGTGTGTGGTTGTTAAAATTATTAGTTCCCAAATGCTGATTTAATTGGAGAAAAAAATAATTTTATGTCTGTTACATATTGGTAAAAATGCACCTGTTTAATTGGAGACCTTTGTCAGAGGTGTTACAGATATCATCCACATTCCTTACAATCTGCTTTAAAATCTTTCCTGCTGATGTTCCTTACCATAAGTTCACATTTAATGTTCCCTTTATTGTGTTTGTATATAAATGAAGATAAATGCTGCTCTGAAACCTTAAGTTTGGTTAAAGTCCAACAAGTGTTACTAGCTGTGATGAACCCAGGTGCTCTGCTTCTTCAGCAGACATACTGTGGACCTTAAATCTGTGCATCACATTTGGTAGGTTTTTATGGATGTTGTGTATGGAATAGTTCCACGCATACATGCTTGTGGAAGATCACTCATCTTTGGTTCTTTTTCTTAAAGAATGTATTTAATGAGTGAATAATTCCTAATGGAAGTATTTTATATGGGTATTTTACATCTATAGTGTACATATATATTACTTTTAAGTAACTTAGTGGCTGGGTCTTCACCGGGAGTTCTGTTTAAAAGTCTAAAGTGTCTCTATTTTTGATTCTGAAAACTCCTTCTAAGCTCTGTTAGAAAGTTGTGGACAGTTACTTTATCTGTCAAAAAGTTCATGAATTTTCATGCTAGCAATCAGAGAGAGAAGTTGGAGCTCTAGACATGCTTTCTTACTGAAGTGTGGTTTTTTGTGTTTTTTTGACATACTTCCTGTTCTTAAATAAGCACATTTTATTTTCAGCTCAGGCTTGTGCAGATGTCCTGGCATTAGCCAAAGAAGCTAGAAAGCGAAATCTTGGTCCTCTTCATCCTTCCTTTAATGTGATAAAGATAATAAGAGATGGACTGATGAGAAATCTTCCAGAAAACACTCACCAGCTGTCATCAGGCAGACTGTGTATTTCACTAACCAGAGTGTCAGATGGTAAAAATGCGTTGATATCTAACTTTAACTCTAAAGAAGAAGTTATCCAGGTATGTTTATCTTTGCCAGCTTCTAAAATTTTCTGTAATTTTAACATCATTTTAACATCCATTTTAAACAGTTTAGGATATTACAACTTTGACAGTATATTAAAGGTGAATTCAAGTTTCATTACACTATATTAATTTACTAGTTTTCCCAGGCAATGTATCTGCAAACTGTTTTAGTGAGTAGGTACAAGGGATCAATCTTAGAAAGGATGAATGTCTTTGAAGTGCAGTGTATCTAATGAAAATACATCCTTCACAAATAAGATTTTTTTTTTTTAAGGTAATTCTTAAAAAAGCAGCAATCAAAAAACAGTCAAAAATGGCAATTTAACATTCTTACTATGAGTTACAAAGCTATCTTAATATGATTCCTGAATGTTAATAATTGTGTCCCCAGTTAGTTACTTTGATTACTTGGATAATGTATAGCTTGAGTGATTGATCACAAGCTTTGCCTTGCTGATCAGCATCTCCAGAGACGGTCTTTTAGTGAGTCTTACCATTTTTTTTAGACAGAGTGTGATTACATTCTAAAAAAGAAATGTTGGAATACTCTCATCCTGTTTAAGATAATAGCCTCTGTCCCCTCCCCCTTTTCTTTTTATTCAAATGTACTTGCTGGGGATTTTTTTTGGTTGCTTGCTCAGTTGTTTTTGCTGAACATCTAAAGAGATAAAGATAAATGATAATTTCAGTAATAGAACAGTTACTGTTTTAATTCATATGCTCTCATTTTCCTACAGGCTTTAATCTGTAGTTCCTTTGTCCCCATTTATTGTGGCCTAATTCCACCATCATTTAGAGGTGTGGTAAGTCTCTATTGTTAATATTTAAAAGTAGTTCTAGCTATTCTAAAATATTAAGAGACAATGTATATGAGGTTTTTTGTTATCCTACTGTAAAATAAATTCCTTCATCATAGCTTCTAGTGCTGTAGTTGTGTGTTACAACTTTTCAAAAAAAGCAAGGAAACACTCCTGCAAAACAAACACACACACACACACACATATACACATGCTGTCCCCTCCTGCCCCCATCAATTTGTTGCTTACTGATGCAGTAATTAAAAGAGGATATTCTAAGGCAGCAAATATTTAACTTAAGGATAAATATTTATTGAAGGAAGTGATGCTTATTTACCTGCACAAATTTATAGGAAGGATCACTTATACTTGTATGTTTGCTTACAAAAAAATAAAATCTTGTAAGACAGTGGCTGGGATAGTGGTTAGATCATGACAGATAGTTTATTGTGTACCTGTGTTCTTGCTGTAGGTAGATCTGCCTTTATACCTGGATTAAAGTTCAGTTAGCTATAAACAAAACTTCTCAATGTCTCTGTCATTTGTATTCAGTCTAAGAAAGGTTGCTTTTTAAAGGTGAAGTGACAGCATGTTAGTCTGTTCCATTACATTACATTACAGGAACTGTTGGTTACAAAACCTCTTAATACTTCAGGGCTATACTGGGTTTTCTAAAATCCCTCATTAAAGGGACAACAACTGCAGAAAAGTTAGTGTAGTTTGTTGTAGGTATTCTGATTAACATGTCTGAAGCAGACATACACGTGTTACAGAGTTGTATTAACTTGCTTTTGCTTTTCTTCCAACTTTGGTGTTTCTTACACAAGGAGAAGGGAAGAATATGGAAAGAAAACTCAAAACATCTTCAACAGTGATAGATTACAGACTGTTCTCAAGGCAATTTTGAAGTGCTGAAAGGTCAAGGATAGATATAAATGTATTTTCTTCTTCATGCTGAAATTTAAGCAAAAGTGACTAGAGCTGTATAGGGATTTTTATCTGTACTTCTAAACCTTGTATGTCTCCTTAAACTCTTCCAGATTAAAGGTGTTATGAAAACAGGACGTTGGACTGAATCCAAGGTTTAGGTGGATCCAGGCTAATCTGGCTATTCAGTTCTTGTCACCAGACAACAATGTTATTTTAAAAGGCTTAGTTCAGAGTACAAAAACATACAAGTGATGCTTTATTTGGTCCTATTTTGAGGGAAGGAAGGAATCATTGTTTCCTTTTGATATTTGCAATTTGGATCTGATTTTAATGCTTAGGAGGCATTTTGGATGTAACTTGGTAAGAAAACCGTAGTTGCATGTATTTGCCATGATTTCTATAGGGTTTAAACACAGTAGAATGTCAAGTATGTAAACTTTGTAGCATCTTGCTGTTTACTCGCTTGGTGCTTCAGGCATGTATACTTTAAAACAGAAAGACAGAAGGATAACTCTCAATAGGTATATGTAAGTGCCAGTTGTGAAGCTTCTGGGTGTGTGGGTTTTTTTGGGTTTTTTTTTAACCCTTTCAAACACAGCAGTGGTTTTAGATTACAAAATTACTAGGGAGAAGAGTGAGGCAGATACTCCAAGTAATTAAAACAGTTTATCTCTCTAGAACAGTGACTCAGTTGTGTACTTCCATCTTTTAATAATTTCATGAGAAGGCTGTGTGCTGTGGCTCCTCCTTTGACAAGCCTGTTGTAATGTGCTTGGTACTTCCACAGACGACTTGGTGATTGTACGTGTACTTCAGTGACTGTATTACACACCTATAGGAAGTCTGTCAGTGGCTGTGTGCTAGTGGATCTAGAGTGTTCAGGAAAGCTGACAGGAATGGGCTGCTCTACAAGAGTATGTTGGGTAAATTACTCTGAGTTGTCATCTTCCTAATTCCTGATTTGTTTCTCAGAATGGTGGGGGAGTGAGTTTCAAGGCAGATGAAACTGATAATCCAGGTTGCTTCTGCTCAGATCACCTACTCTGTTAACATTTACATTTTACAAGGACCTATGGATTATGTCTGTTGCGTGGTTAGGAAGAAGGAAAATGCAGCCACTAAACCAGCAAAGTTGTTGGTCTTCTGCTGCTGTCAGACCAAACTAGCTGTGACTTGTTTGGCCCCACTGGAAACATGGATGTTTTGAGCGAGTGGAGGAGGTGCGTTCAGCCACAGCATCTGCTGCACTATAGATTAGTTGCCCCAATAAAGAGATCTTCAGTTTTTTGATCTTAAAATGTCTGAGATAGTGAGGCACTGAAACTACAGAAGTGGGCAATCCAACACGAAGGAGTCAAAAGCTTAACCTGGAACAGCTTCTAAACTTGCATTCAAAGCAGAATAGATATCCATGACTGTTGGCAAGGTTTCTGAAGCATTTTGTGGTTTTTATGTGCAGTTTCTTTATGTCCAAATACGCTTTTATATCAAGTTCGACTGAGAGTTAATTTTAAGTTACTCTTTTTCTAAGTGAATGGATTAGTGTCACAGAACTTTAGCTTAGAAGCGTAGAGCTATTATTTTACTTGTATTCTTTCTGAAGTACGACCCTGTTAGCTCTTCATTTGGTGCTCTCCGGTGAGGAAGAAGAGATACCTGCACAACTTTTTCTCTGCATCTGTTGTAGGATTATGATCTTTAAAATGGACTTGCTCTCTCTTAAACATGCATTAGAGGACAAAGCAGGTTACTCAGTGTTGTTACAGTCTTAAATGCTACTTAATTTTTGCATGGGAAATACTCTAGTTAGAAATTTTCAGCCTTTGAGACTTCTTATTTCTGCTAATTTTTGTAGCGTTATGTGGATGGAGGAATCAGTGACAACTTACCTCACTATGAATCAAAAAATACCATCACAGTTTCACCTTTCGCTGGGGAGTGTGATATCTGTCCAAAGGGGAATTCTGCCAACTTCCATGAAATGAATGTGACCAACACCAGCATTCAGCTCAGTTTGGGGAACCTTTATCGTTTAACACAAGCGCTCTTTCCACCAGAACCTAAGGTAAGTCACTGCCTTCATGTAGTCACTAAAACATCTTTCCATATAAAAGCCTTTTTTTTGCAGAAAGCAGAAGTAATCTTATCATTTCATTTAGTCATATAAACTTTTTTGGTGATATTTCTTATTAATTTTTTTTTGTCTTTGTTCTCCTTATTTTTAGTTTCACTCAGACTGAAAATGCATGTTCTGCTATTGATTTTCAGCACATGCTTCTATCATGATATCAACCTTGGTAAATTAGTAACTATTAGTTTGTAGTCCTTTCATGTTTACCTGCTAACCAGGTGGTTCAGAACTTAGAAGTTCTAAAGCTTTGTGGTTTTGTGAAGTTCTCAATCAATACTTCACATAGGCAAGTTGCCATTAAACTTGGCTAAGTGCTTTTAACTGCAGATCTGGTGAGGGAAATTGTTGTTGTGGAAGCTGAAAAAATGAAAGCAGACCTTGTGAATTGCATTGGGATATACTGCAGAGGAGAGTTAATGTTCCTGACTGCTACAGATGTTTGTTTGTTGTTGGTTTTTGTTTTTTTTTAATTGAGGGCTTTTGACCACTTGGAGGAAAATACTAATTTCAACTTGGGTAGGTTTTAATTCTTTTATGTTTATTTTCTTCTGTCTAGGAGTACTGTGTAGGTGAGCTGGTGTTGCATCTTGTGAAAGATATTTTCATGTGGGGGATTAAGTCTGAGTTTGAGCAGGAGAATTGCACAGCTATAGCTTTGGAAGTGGGAAGCACTGGAAGGGAAGCAGGGGAATTGGCATACTCTGAGCCACCTTGTTTCATTGTTGACTGCATCTGCTGAAAAGCTACTCAATGAAACAGAAGGAGAGGAAATATTGCAAACTGTCTGAATGCTGTCCTTTCAGGTGAACAATTCAGTGCATCTGTAATAGCGGAAAAATAAGTTCACATATGCATGATCCTGTATGCATTATGACACGCATAGATATATCAGCCTGGATCTGTTGAATTACAGCAATGTTCATGTACTTTTTCTTAAAAGAATGGAGGGTGAATGGAAGTGGCTTTTCATTCTGCAAACTTGATTTCAAATCTAACCTCCTTTTATTTGTCTGACTCATTTACCCTGTACTTGCAGGTACTAGGAGAAATCTGTGAGCAAGGATATTCAGATGCTCTTAAATTCTTGAAAGAGAATGGTATGTTACACATGTGGATTATTATTGATGATGTGGTCTTAAGCTGAGCTTACAACAAAAAGTAAAAGGATGAGGGGGTTTTGTGTAGCTAAGAAGGGGCCAGGTCTTTGAGGTTTTTGAAGGGAACATGGCAAGTTTAGTTCTTGTAGAAATGTCATAGTTGTAGTAACTATTCACCTGAGGTAAGGTGTGCTGACACACAGAAATTGAATTTCTGGGGTTTTGTCAAATTTGTGTGAAGTGAATATTAAAGTATTGTTAAGTGAAATTACAGAAGAATTCCAATTCTAGGGAAGTCTTACTAGTTTCTTCTGTGTTAGTCATGAAGGATAGGAATAGGCTATTGTTTCCCACTCCTGTGAAACTTGTATCATCTTAGAACCTCCTGTCTGTTATCAGCTAAGTGAATTTCCATGTAAAGCCTTGTAGTCTAGAACTGGCTAACAGTATAAACTCAGTCACAGACAAACCCTTAGTCTGTACCATGAAAGACTTCAGAAGACAACTTGTAATGCGACAGTTGTTGGGACACAGGTAAGTCTAGGAAGAAGAATTGAAAGTTGCTCTACTCCACTCCTAGAATTCTAGTAATGTATTTTATATTAATACGTTAATGCTCTGCACACTTTGAGACAAACAAGTTAAAGGCAGGAACTTGATATTGGCACAAAGTTAACCGTGTGTTAAATATGCCTAATGCCTCTAGTCTTTGGCTGCAGAAGCACATGGGTAGTAGGTCAGTTTTGAAGAATGGAAATGTAAATGTGATGTTTGCACTGTTGCAGATAGTATCAGCTGCAGTATTGTAATGCAGTCAGATTGATGTGCTTACTGTTTATACTCCGTTATAACTAAGCATTAAATATTCAAGTTCTCTTGGAACAGTTTTCACTGTTAAAGAACGTCACAGTTCTGCTGAAGAGTTTGGTTTTTCTAGTAATAATATTAAATATTAATGAGAATGTCCTGCTTTATACCTTTTACCAGGTGACTAAAAGCACAAGCTATACAAAGAGCCTATAATTTGTGGTTGTCTGCTAAGATAGGTTTCATTGCTGTACTGCACCCATAAGTTTCCTGCGCACATGTTTCCGTCTGACACTAATATCTGATATTCCTTGCTGCTCCTCCTTGGAGGAGGAGCTGTCCTCTCCCCCATGTCCTCTGTGTATTGCACTACTGGCCTCCTTTTCACACTACTGATCCTATGATCACCTTTGTTGTTATTCTGCTGCAGGTTTGCCTTGCTTCAAGCTTAGTTAGTGATAACTATAACCTTTTCAAACTCATTCATTATACATCTTCTTTCTTGTTATTTCAACTGTAGGAGTTAATTTTTCCCCCATCTGTAGCACTTCAGATAACTTTTTTATTTTTTCCCAAATTCTCTGTATGTTCTTTTGACATTTGTTTTTTAGGCATAATTGTAAGTAGGATACAGATTCTGTTGTATGTAGGTATGCATCTTACTAAAATTTCGTAGTCTTTATGTCTAAATAACTTCATAATGATTTTCTGGAAACTGAAGATAAATACCCTTCTTGTATTTTTCATTTGTGCTCATTATTTAGTGCTTGTTTCTAAGGTAATTACCTGTCCTATTTCCTAACTGGCACCAGTTTTGCAAGGCATCCAGTGTTGATTTAGATCTGTACTTTAGATACATCTTGTACCCTACTCAGTTTCTTTCTCCACCCTGTTGTAGCAATGCCTTGAAGTACTTGGGTGATACATGCCATGTCAAATTTCCCAAATGTCTAATGTGTTTTGGGTGTTTTCCTTCAAATAAATATTAAATCAGTTTTTCTCCTCTCCTTTTAAACCATTTGCTTTCTTGCTGGAAAACAACTTTGATAAAGGACTCTGTATTTCCAGTGCACTTCCAGTTAATTGTCCATTTTCTCCTTTTCTTTAGAACCTGTTTTAAAGTAAGACCTAAACCTGCAAAAGAATATTCATCAGTGTGATCGAACATTTGTGGGATTATAACAGCAGGTGTATTTGATGTTGGGTAGATTATATTCCCTCAGGTTAGGCCTTTGTACAGATACACAGATGGCAGGTACTGTACAGGTACTCTGAAGACCTGAAGATCAAGCCTAAGTGGAAGCTTTTGATTCTTTCAGGTATTCTGAACGACTCAATTTATATCCACTTGTCCTTCCCAAAAAGAAATCCTCATGAGGCTGCACAACACATTGACCATATGAAGAAAAAAATACTGGCAGAAAATAATGGAGTAGAAACTTTGAAAATGGAAGTACTTAATGACCAACTAAAGCAAAGTCCATGGCCTTTGGAGAAGAGTATATTTGAAAGTCTACCTCCTAGACTTCGTAAAGGTGCATGCTTGAAAGTGTTTCCTGCAACTATGAATGACAAATTTTGATTTATTTTTTGCCTGCTTTCTCTTATAATTTGCATAAGATGCTTTAGTCTTATAATCGCCTGTGATATTAGACTAGCTCGATCAAAAAAAAAGAGTTCTTTATGTATTTATTAAATGTGAACATGTACATTTTGATTTAGATTGAAGGAGGAAAAAGGAGCTACTTTCAGCTCTGCAGAGTTGTGAATTAAATTCTCATTTGGTTTTGAATAAACTTCGTATGTGCACAGTATTTTTGTAAGTGTGTATTTCACACCAAAGTTGAACCTCAAATCCAAATACTAGTTGTCCCCATCTCATTTTTAAAACAGACTTCTGTAGATTTCCAGTTCTCTGTTTTTCCTGCCATTTTAATAAGCTGTTAATAGACCAAAACCACTTCTGATATTTCTTTGATCTATAACTTTCTCCTGCATTTTTTTGTGGATGCTGATTGGTATTTTTACAAGATCTGAAATTTGTCATCCTAGTGACATAGGAAAACAAAAGTTGAAGTGAATTTCTTACAACTGTGTGTAACAACTGGAATATGCACAACTCTGGGATTTAAACAAAGTCCTTAGAGTTATTGGGACTCTAATAAGACAAGAATGCTATCTAAAATACATAAGTATTTTTGGAGAGGTGAACTTTACATCCTCTTACATCCGCTTACTATAAATTAATTCTTAGACTTACTGTATCGAAGTTCTGGGTAATGCCTTTTGTTCCTGTGGTATGAGTCTGTGTTTCTCACATTTTAAAATAGCATAGAGAAGGTTTATGGTAAGAGTGCCTTGAGATTAATTCTTCCTTTTTCTGTTTGGGCCCTGTTCAATAACACTTGATAATGTTGCCTGAAGATTGCTGAACTTAGAATTATTTAAACTGTTTTCAAATAGTCTAACACCTTTTTCAAAAATAATTATTATTAAGCACTGCAGGAAGCTTGTAAAGAACAGAATGGATTCTACGCTCAGTTCTCTAAACTCTTCCCTATGCGAGTGATATCCTATCTGATGCTACCCTATACACTACCAGTGGAGTCAGCTTACTCTGTTGCTTTACGGTAAGGAATCATTTTAGAATTATTATACTTTTGAGAATTTACTTATTGAAAGACTATTCAGTGTTGTAGGCATTCTGGTACTCTAGAATTCAAGTGGTATCTGTCTGAAGACTGTTATTTCTACCTGTATGATGCATCCTCAGAAAGTCTGTATAGTCTAAGGCTAGATAAATAAGCAAGTTACTCTCCTTACCAGTGGTTGTCTTGTTAATAGTTCAAAAGAAGCACCCTTATTTGTGTTTCCCAGCAGCACAATCTGTGTTACTGTTACTATATTCTGCAGTGGTATTTAAACTCTATACAGATAGTTCATGTGCTTCAGCTTCTTTCTGAAGTCAGGGGTTAAATTCAGTGTTTACTCACCATATAAATTTTCTTGCCAGGTTTGTTTAGGTTGACTGAAAGTTGTGCTCTTCAAACAGACTTAATTTTGTAAGTCTTTTGATTCTCATAAATGAGAAATTATGGTAAACGAACGCACCATGAATCCTAAGCTTTGTGCTTGCTAAAGAGAATGCCAGTCCTTAACAGTGGATGATGTCCTTACTATCTTTAGAAAAAACTAGAAAAAACAAATGTAAATGGAGCCACATAGAAGTCCAGTGAAATATTTTATTTTAATGTGGCACTTCTTCATTTTGTGGTGGATGAGAGGAAGCAAGTTTCAACAGCATGTTTATGTGGGTTTTCTCCCTTGTCCCCTCTGGCGTAACTAGCTTCAGTTAAGAGCTTCATGAGGAAGTTCTGTTTCTGCCTTCTATTTGCTCTTCCATTGTGCTTTTTTTTTTCTTCTTTTTTTCTATACTTTTTTTTTTTTGTTGTTGTTTCTTCCTCATCCACCTAATTTTAAACTGACCAGAAAATTCCCACTGCAGAGAAAGAGGTCTCAGAGACAGGAGGATTTTGAAGGCTTCCTAATTGTTGGTCACAGGGTGTGGAATGCACATATACTGGTCAGCCACTCAACAGATCAGAGATGCAAGGGTCTGTGCCGCTCTTTTTCTTAGCTTGTAGAGAAGAGATGAGTGAGCTAGGTGTGAATTAAGGGAGGCTGGGAAGACTTGGAGACCTTGCAGGGGGATTAATTTAGGGAGAATGAAAGCTGTGGTGTGGTTTCTTGAGGATGTACGTAACAATACAGTGTGAATTAGATCCGCTTACAAAACAACTGTATTTTGGTTTTGATTGTAGGTTAGTAAACTGGTTTCCTGACATGCCTGCTGATATTCGATGGATGCAAGAACAGCTTTGCCAGATTGCTGGTACAGTCTATTCCCAGGCTAAAAGCAAGCTGTTCTGTATATCCAGGTAAAGTGGAGTGCTCCTGTGTGCAAACGATGCATTTTTATATATGCTTTCTCTTTTGTCAGAGCTTCAGCAAGTTTCTCTCTTAAAGCAGGGTTTAATAATTTTCTCAAAGGTAACACAGAACAGTTCTTGCTGCTTCTCATCCTTAGCATTGTTTCTAAAGTATATTTTTCTGGTGCTTCTTTATAACTGATGACTGACTGCTACATACTGTAGATGAAGAGCTGCTGCCTATTGGTAGGCTTATGGTTTTTGGGGATAGAGATGGGTTATAGAGCAGGCATTGGACTGAGAACAGAGACCTTATTTCTTCTCTGCTTCACAGTACCTGAAGCAATCAAGAAGAAAAGAAGAAGAAAAGGTGGCTCAAGACGTTCTAAGTCAGCTGTAGCATGCAGGAACTGGAAAATGTTGGGAGAAAGACTACATTCTTAGGAGTTTGGACAGGAGAGGTTGTAAGTTAAAAAGTAGATTAATATGAAGGACAGTCTTGTAAGATAGTTGGGAAGAGTTAAAATAAGACACACAGAAAATTTTAAGGAATCTATTTCCGTGGAAGAGAAACCTTCATTTGAACCTGGTTGTTAGTGGATTCATTATGCTTCTCTTGCCAGGCTGGTCTGAGATTTAGCCTTTTAGACTTTTTACTTCTGTTAAACTTTAACACTATGTGAATGAAGGAATCAGTGTCAACTCACTTCAGTATGAATCTAAGAATACCATTGCAGTTTTGCTTTTTCATGGGGAGTGTAGCATTTGCCTAAGGAGCTCTGCAAACTTTCACGGAATGAATATGTCAGATACTCAGCTTAGATTTTCGTGCTATAAACAGACTTGTTGCTGGAACAGAGTTACACAGCTGTGTCAGAGCAGTGCTCTGTAGAGCAAGCAGAGAAACATAAATTCTCTTTGAGGTCCAAATGCTTATTTGTCTTAAAAGTCTCCTAAGATTTGGTCTGAGAAAGAATTTACAGAGTAGGTCCTATCTACCTTACTGTAATTTTTCTGATGATTGCCTCAATGCCTGCAGTTGGTAGGTAGGAGGTAGAAGGGGAAGAGAAATTAGCCTGAAAAACTGTTAGGGTTGAACATAATTCTTAAATTCTTCATAAAGGCTTTCAAGAGACAGCTGTAGCACTGGAGGCTCAACTGCAGCAGTTATTTCAATTAAAGCATTGCCATGTTCTATATACAGCATGTTTTTAAATTAAAATGAAAAATACACTTTTATTTGAGCTAGAAGTTCTTGAGCTTTTGTTTTCCTGATTTGAGCAAACAAGTTAAATAAGGAGGAAGATCAAAGATGCTCTTTCTAGCTCTGGCAGTGCTATACAGTGAACTGTCAGAAATGCGGGATTGGTATGTCTGAGAACTGCTTGATCCTACTTCCTTATAAAAAGCTTTGCCAGGTTCTGGATGGGCATTGTGATAGATCCAATTGATATGCTCCATCCCTTAGTAGTACACAGTAGTCAAACTTACTGTTAAGGGCTCTTCCTTAATGGAAGACTTAATGAGGATGAAGCTTGGGTTTCCTTCCCCCTTTGGAAGTATTAGATGGTGGCTTTCATGTTAGGTTATAAAGGTATTTTCTTTTTACAATACTCAGTTTTATCCAGAGTTTGGAAGCATTTAATTCCTATGTACAAATAGCCTCTCTTCACCCTTTCTGAAATCCGTTAAAGCTTTTTCTTGTGTAACACTAGTTAGCTTTTGAGGCCATCTCTCTCAGCAAGAATTTAGTTCTTAGTATTTATTTGCTATCACCTGACTGTCATCTCTTCAGTTACTTGATACCATATGTAATCCAGTGTCTTCTTTTTTCTTTCTCAATTATATTTCTGATTCCTTTCCACAATATGTGTATAGTCATCTTCCTGCTTTTACCCTTATTTAACAGCTTCTTGATGATGCTCATATTCCAGTCTTACCAACTGTGAGGCTCTACATCTGAAACAGGCATTTGGAAGGCACAATATCACAAGACTGTCAGATCTGACTTCTCAAAGGGGTTATTTGGTCATTGAGTCATGATTAACCAGGAACATTGTTTCTCTTGTGGAAAGAGAAGCTCTTGACATTAAACAGAACATGGTGGTCGTGGCTTTTCCTATGTGCTTTTATGGTATCCTCAAAGGGGATCAGCTCCCACTGAACTGTTTGCACTCTCAAACTTCTAAGTTTTCTGAAGCCTTCATTTAAGGATTCACTCTTCAGGTAGATAGGTCCCAAGACTCTGTCTGTAGAATCCTACACTGTATTCTACAGGTGGGCTCTTCGTGGGGTTGTACTTTATTTCAGCATCCACCAAGAACTTACTGCTGCTTTTTAAGAAAGTAACCCCTGCACAACTTTGTTTTTAAGTTCTTCTCCTTGTCATCAGATCTAGCTTCTGTTTTGGAATCTAACTTAAATCTCATGAAAATTTGAGCTGTTTATGGTTTGAAAATCCTTTTAGGAAACTTAACCAGGTGGATGGTATCTTCTAGTGCACCTCAACTTCAGGTATGGAAACTGGTGTTGAAGTGTATTTTGCAAGTTGGGGGTTTTTCATGCATGAGAGGAGGTGTTGCAGGTTATTACAGAGAACTTTAGAGAAAAACCTGGTTTGTTCTCAGTGACAACTTCAGTTTCTTGTTTCTCAAATTGAAAAGACTAACCTGGTGATTCAGGTACTGGTTTAGAGTGTAGAAAAATTCTGTTCCCTGTAGGTGATAATTGGCTGGTTGTAAAGTAGAATGCAGAGATGGCACTTGAGAAGTTGAACAACTGTGTTTGCTTCTCAACTTGTAAATGTTGAGACTATTCTTGTTAATTTTCAGTTAGTGCTGAGATTGGTAAATGGGCAAATATTCCAAGTAGATAGCTGGGAGGGAGGAGATCAGGACTAAGAGGTAACATACAAACTGGGTCTACCCTTCTGAGCTCATCAGAACAGTGTGACTTTTAATGTAAGTATTTTATATCTACTTCTAAGGACAACACATAATGGCAGAGTGCCCCTATGGTGGGTTCAAGATCCTTTTGCTGTTGTCCTATACTCTAACTCATTAAATTGCATTTAAAATTAACTGTTTTCCTCTAGCCTTCTTCCTTACATGAAGATTCCCTATAAGACATCTGAACAGTAATAGAAACAGTAATTGAAACACTAACAATCTTTTTTTCTTTTTTTTCTTTTTTAAACAGGAAAGACAAATATGCATCACTAAGAAAATGTCAAACTGTTCCATCTACTATGCAGTTTCATTCTTCATACTGCCACCTGAAAATGCCTCGCTCTTCTGCAGACCTTGAAACCTGGCTCCGGGAATCTTCATGCTTCATGCACTCAGCTGTGAAAAATGCTTCTCCTAATGTACAGGAGCATTCAGACATAAACTCCTATCCTAATTTTCTCCCAAATCCTGATGAGTCTGGGTTGGAAGTAGATTTTGATTCTTCCTCAGAGTCAAGTTTCCAAACTGCTCCAGAGTATTAATTTGGAAGTAGCTTCCACAGTTTCCAAAATTCCAATTTGGCAGAGATTTATTTCCTAAAGGATTAAAGATCACTTTGATTATTGCCAATAAGTCTTGGAAAATTTGTTTACAGCTTCCTGACAAATTTGCCTTGGGCTTTCTACTGTTTAAGGATTATAAAAACAGTGGCTGCTATACTGAGTAACAGACTACAGTTCTGTCAAAGCACCAGCTCAATCAACTTTAGTAAGACATGTAGTAAACAGTGTTTCTCTGGAAATAATTTTTTTTAATCTACTTTCAGCATAAAAATCTAAATTCTGTAAACAGATTTAGACAAACAGGTATCAAGAAAAAAAGCTTTTTAAAAATGTAATTCTTAATATTATGTGTTAAGATTAATTTTATAGCACTTAAATAAAATTGGACTTTTACTTCATAAAGGGAAATACACAAAAGAGCTTTTTAGTGGCCTCCAGTGTCCATTTGCCTTATGTTTAAACATACTGTTGTGTTCACTGAAGAATTGTCTGCATGAGATACTGTAGGAACAGTAATATTCTAGGTTACTGTATGTATTCCATAGTTCACATTACTTCTCCTCTATGGTTCTTCCTCTCTTCAAATACTTCAAGGGAAAAAGCCATAGGAAATGGGATGCATTCCCCTGAAGTGTAAACAGGTACAGTTTCAGTGATGTTTTGTTTGTTTGTTTGGTTTTTTTGAACTTAAGAGCTTAATACTTGACTAAGTATTGAAAAGTAGGTAAAACAGTGACTCTGCTTAGTAGCAAACAGTAATCTGAGGTGGTGTTAAACTTCACAGAAGATGTTAACAAAAAAATCAGCTTATAGCAAACAGTGAATGATGTTTAGGTCTTATTACCTCTAATTGCTGCCCAATCATTCTCAATTTTATTTATTTTTTTTTCCCCTCTCCGACTTGATTTTTTTCTTCCCTTCTTTTACTTTTCTCTTGCTAAGGGAAGGAAGAAAAAAGGGGTCCCTTCTGTCTCAGTGAGGCATGATAGCCCAGTGGAAGTTTTCCAAGACCAATTGTTAGAGGAAGCAAATGTGTAAGACTTGGTGGAAGTATCAGTATTCAGGGAGCTGTGCAAAGGCATCAGATAATGAGTTGAAAGTCAGCCAAATCTGTAGTTGAAGAGCATTTTAAACACTTTGCACTATGAAAGTGCACTACTAAAAGTGCATGCTTTTAATAAAGACAACGTATTAGTGTATGAATACATCAGGACAAGTAAATAACTGGTAAGTTGAACCACTCTCCATGTTTTGTTACCATGGATGATTTCTTTCAAGTAGAAGGATGGGTTTAAAATGAAGTTTGAGTGTTTGGGGGTAGGCATGCAACATTTGAAAGCCTCTCACTGAAGAATGTGAATTGTGCGCAAGCTGAGTGCAGCCCAGGGAAGAGGCTATAGATGCTTGTGGGAAGTGGCTTGTACAAGAAGTGGTGATCATGTTGAGACACTCGGGACAGGGAACTTTGGAGTGTGAGCTTTGATATCTGGAAGTATGTCAAATAGCAAAATGTAGCATTTTTTTAGTTGGACCAGCCTTAAGCAGTTTCCCAGCTGTGATTTCCTTAAGTTTCAAGTGCTAAGTTTTGCAACATTATGATTGAATTTTAGGATGGTGGGGGAGAGGGGAGAAAGTGTCAAGCTGTCTATTTCCCTACCAGAGAAGGCTGGTATTTTACTTAAACCCTTTTGTTAATTTCTTCTGTGTGTGTATGTATATATATCTTCAAATTTGCAAGAAAAGTTTGAAATGTTACTACAATTAAAATATACAACTTCTGGTTTATATTGTCTTCATCTCTATCTTTAAAACTTTCCATAATTTAATTTTATAATGTTCTGCAAAATGTTGGTTTTACCAGTATGTGTTA